ATGGCAGGGGGTCGGACTTGATGATCTGCTCAGGTCCCTTCCAACCCTACTAACTATGAAACTCCCTGTCTGACTGTATCCAAACCATTTTATACAATCCATAATCTAAACTCTCTATATAACTACCACCAAGCCTAACACAACACAGACTTAACACCCTAATCTGCTACAAGTAAAGCAGGAGAACCACAGTAGTCCACATCCTGCTTCTATGACATGTTGTCAATATATGCTCAAGAAATCCTGGGTAGAGGGCCATGCCCTCACTACAGATGTAGGCAAACCCCCTCAACAGTCTGTATCAATCTGACCATGGGGTAAAATTCCTTTCTGACCTAAGTGTGGTGCTCAGTTTGACCCTTAGTGGAGAAGCAAGACCTTCTAGCCAGGAACATCCACTTTTGCTCCCAGCAGGAACATTGGTACACCCCAGTCAAAGCCACCAGCCTTGGCCGTAGCCAATACCCAATGCCTCTGAGGAAGGTTTAAAAACACCCTGACATATATAGTGTGGTGGAGGGGTGGAGTTTCAGGAGCAACCAGCAAAGCCCAAAAGTATTAAAAATACCTACAGTACAACACAGGCATAGCTATGCCTAGATGAGTGGCTGTCCAACCTTTTCTTGAACACCTCCAGGGATGGAGAATCCATAATTTCCCTGGGCCTAGGCAGTCTATTCTACTGCTCTCTCCCTGCCCCCCCCCCCCCATTCTAACTGTGAAGAAGTTTTGTTGGATATCCAATCTAAACGTACTTTGCTCCAACTTCAAGACATTGGTCTGCATCCTTCTCTGTTCAACAAGAAAGAAAAGGTGCTTTCCCTCTTCTTTATGGCAACCCTTCAATATTTGAAGACTTCTATCATGTCCCACCCCCCTTAAGCACTTTTTCCACAAGCTCAACATGTCTAGCTTCTTCAGCTTCTCCTCATATGACTTGCTTTATCATATCTGTTACCTGCCTTTGGGCCTTCTCTAAGTTCTCTACATCCTTTTTAAAATGTGGAGCCCAGAACTACACACAGTACTCCAGATGAGGCCTAACCAGCAGGGCTGCACGAAGCTTTGGTCCCTGATTTGATTCAGTGGAGATTTGGCCCCATTTAGTGGCCAAATCTCTGAATCTGAATCAATTCAGAGGACCCTTCAATTTCTCCAAATCAAATTGGAACCCTCCAAATTGAATCGGAGAGCTACGGAAAGATTCGACCATTTGGAAACAGACACAGCTTTAAAAGTTTTTTCTACATACCTCTGGGTACCAGGCGGCTCATAAATGCTGTGATGCTGAGGTGCATGGAGCGTCCCACAGGAGTGTGGGGGGGTCCCCAGAACGCTCAACAGCAGATCCGAAAGTGGATCAGAAGCACTTACAGTCCACTTCTGGGTCTGCCGCAGCATGTGCAGGGCCCCCCACCCATGCTGCCCCAGCTCAGAGACTGGTGCCTCCTGGGTCTGGGGGGGCACCCAGGGTCCCCCCGTGGCTGATCACTGAGTTGGAGGGGCACAAGTAGGGCTCCCCAGTGCAGTCCCCAGTGGACCTGGAAGTGGACCAGAAGTACTTCGGATTCACTTCCAGGTTCGCTACCGAGTATGTGCCACCTTTGCCCCCCACCCCCCCACACACTCCTGTGGGATGCTCCATTTGCCCCAGCATCACAGTATTCACAAGCCATGCTGGTACATCAAGGTATGTAAAGAAAACATTTAAAGCTGTGCCTATGTTCGAACCACTAATTCTCAGAATCAGCATCGACTCTTCAGATTCAGATTCAGACAAATCATATCAGGGACAGTGATCCAAATCAGCTAATCGAATCACTGTGCCCGATTCAGGCTGAATCAGAATCTAAATCAAATAGGGCCTGCTTCACATACCCCTACTAACCAGTGCTGAGTAGAAAGACACTATCAC